CATTCCTTATCCATTCTCTCTCAGGCATTCTACCATTCATAATATATTCTGGACTTTCTTACGTCACTGAACTGGGTACTTCATTTAAATATCGCTCTACATCATTTAACTTTTCATCCCAAGTTCTATGGTTGTCCTGTAACATTATTCTTAAATATTTTATTACTTCTCTTATATATCTTTCTGTTGGATTAGATGTTGGATGTCTAATACTTGTAAAATTCAATTGTATACCTAAATTATCTGTAAATTTCCTCATTTTGTCATTATTAAAATATGTTGCATTATCTTGGATAACCTGTTCTGGTTTACCTATCTCTACTACAAATTTTGTTAATAAATTTTTAACTGTTTTGAAGTCAGTTTCCTTTGTTGGGTATAATTTTGTAAATTTTGTAAATTGATCATTGATTATAAAATATGTTTGTTCTTGTTTCTTGTCGTTATTAAGTTACTAAGAAAGTCTATTGATATAATTTGCAGTGGCCTGTCAGAAATTATGCTCTTTGGTTCATTTCTGTTAACCATATTTTTGGCTTTCGTCATTTGGCATACAGTACATTTATTTATTATGTCTTTTGTCACTTGTAAGTCATTCCTGGCAATATAATTTTCCCTAAAAATTAACCACGTCTTTCTTATTCCTATGTGTAGATATTTGTCATGTATGTCTTGTATTATTTTTCTTGTAAATCCTTTCGTTATAACGTATACTTCTTCTCCATTAATCATTTTAATATGAATTCCTTGTCTTAGTATTGCACCCTCTTTTTCTTTGTCAGTGAGTTCTAGTTGGTCTGTAGTCACTGTTTGTAATGAGTAAAGTCCTGTCATGTTTTTAAATATGTTAACCCCTATTTTAATCTGTTTGTTATTTTTAATTTTTTCTGTGTCCATTCTTGTAATTGTATCTGTTACTAGGTTTTGTTTTCCAGGTATATGTCTGATTTCAAAATTGTACTCTTGAAGTAACAAAGCCCATCTATGGATTCTGGTGTTGGCAAATTTGCAACTGACAATAGACATGAGTGCCTCGTGATCTGTCTCAATATAAAATTTTGATCCTAATAAATAAAACCGTAATTTTGATATACAAAATATTATACTGGCTAACTCAAGTTCCGATACACTGTAATTGCGTTCATACTTTTTAGTAACTCGTGATACAAAAGATATTGGAACTTCTGTTCCCCCTTGATTTTGGACTAGTACTCCTGCAAATCTCAAAATACTAGCATCTGTTTTTAATACAAAAGGTAAATTATAATCTGGGTGAGATATTTTAAGATTGTTACAAAATATTTGTTTAAGTTGCATAAAAGCATGTTCATGTTCTTCATTAAATCAATTAGTGGTATTACTTTATTACTAAGGTCTGGAATAAGCCTTTTGAAATAATTTAATATTCCTAAAAATCCTCACAATGTTTTCAAGTTGTGAGGTCTTGTATATTCTTGTATAGTTTTAATCCTTTCAGGATCCATTTCTAAACCTTTTTCATTTAGTTTATAAATGGAAATTCGGAATGTTTATCGTGAAGTTCTTGGGGATGATGTATATCCACTTCCAATAAGGATTATCATTATCCACATTCAATATATCAAGATTGAAAATTTCATGAGGTGTTAACCATGAAAATTCACCTGTTGGTAATGGTTGTGACATGCTGTGACCATATAGATTTGTTGCATCCAAATATGAAATGAATGGAGATTATTTATTTGGATTATAATTTGGTAAACATTTATTGTTTGCTTTATGTTTCCTCTCACCACATTGACTGATTCCACCACGAATACCTTTTTGAAAGAAATGAACCATATCAATGTCAGTTAGTAATTCCAATTCAATATTCGTATATTTCAACATGGCATCCCACGATACTCCAGGTGCAGTGAAGTATCGTGCCGGATTCAATTTATATTTATCAACAGATATATTTCTAAAGTTTACAAAAATGTCACATAATAGTAACACATCTGATTTTAAATATAAATCAGAGTATGCGCCCAAATTCTGACAGTCGAACAAATTCCATACGAGTTGGGCTCTCCCATAATCATTATCTGATATATGTTCACAATTGAGTTTATCGTTAAATTGATTTTTGGTTGGTGGAAGTCTTGGATGATTCAGTTTGTCGATGTCATTAACAAAACTATAGGGAAATACACCTTTCTTTCTCATTAAATTGAAATTTTCAATTTGTGGGAAATGTTTGCGCATCTCGATACACTGATCAGATGTTAAATTTGCACCAAAATTCTCCAAAGAACTAGGCATTGCCGCGGTTCGATGAGACTTAGGCATACAATGTAGGTTCAGAGCTTTAGTAATAAATACAGTTCGATTATTATTGTTTAATGCAACTTGTGAACATAAATACACTTTTCAATAGATGGTTACTACCTATATAATATGTGGTTGTCACTATATTAACTAAAAAAGTAACATGCGTTCTCCTAACTAACATGTCCTACTCAGTCAAGAGCTAACCGAGGACTCCCCGGTGTCTGCCCGTTCGCTTACCTCTTCACCCGCACTCTTCACCCTTTTCCCATCGTCCACATTGGTGCCTTATAGTCCGGAGCACGGTATAGTCTAGTGCCGCACAACCCGAACCACCACAGCATGAATCTGAAACTATCAATGAATCTCATTTTCAAATAATTTTTCTTCACTCTACCATCTTTATCCGTATAGGAGTGTGTAAAGAGATGTTTTGTGAAATATATATAATTCTCATTAGTTTGTGGGATGCCATCCACTTTATCTTTGTTTTTATGCAATTTCTTTATGAATAAGTGACAATCATATCCACTCAGATTGTGAAAAATAATAGGAATGAAATTTGGTAATTTAAAATTCAAATTACATGATGAATGAGCAGCTGGGAACCTTTTTTTCTTGTATGATGACAATGATCCCTCACTTTAACTTCGCCATCATTGAATTGTTTAGAACAAATGCCACAATTTGTGGCAGAAGCAAACTGTTCCTCTTCGTCAGGAGTTTGTGCATCCATAGGAATAGGAAACCTGAGATGATTTTCATAAATATTTTTCAAATCATCTTCACTTTTGCTGACGAATTTCTGGGCTGCATTTGTATGAACATTTAATCAAATAAGCAAATGAATAAGGCTCATGTTTGAATGTCTTGATCGAGTACGAGTATTCAGGATTTGGCTTAGTGGTTTGAATCGGCTTGAGTACTGATTCAAAATCGGCATACACTACAAATGGTACCTTCATTTGTTTCTCAAAGTTTTCAAACGTTAGTATATTTTCAGGCACCATTTTCCCATATTTATTGACTTTGAAATTGGTTGATGGTGTTGTAGTACTTAAGTGATTACAATCATTTATCTTATGTCGTAATAGTAATTGCTCATTAGAAAAATATAATAAGCATCCATCACAAAAATATTTCTTATGTTCATGAGCCGATGATTGGCTTGAAACTAATCTTGAAAGATGTTTGATCCAACAATAATGACTATTACCGAAATCATCTGTGATAAGTAACAAATTGACATGTCTCCTAAGTCTTCTCTGAGAATAACGTAATGGTCCAATTATTTCATACATTATTTTACCCTTCTCGAATTTACTTTGTAAACCGTACATATCAACTGAAATATCATTCTTGTCCTCAAATTTCACAATATACTTCAAATTTACCGGAAAATTCATACCTGTTACATCTATGACAGTATTGAAATGTAGATATGATGAAACTTCTGACGTTCTATCGGTTGCAGGATGTAGTGCTGAAGTGATAGCCCATACAAAACAATGCTGGTCTTCATTACGAACATTAACCACGGCCTTCTTACGCTCGATACATTCAGGTAGCTTCACATATGAACATCCACTGAGCGGGCTATATTTATTGATGTTTACCTCCAGAAACATGATTTTTTTCACAAGTCTAACGGTAAATACAAATCAAAATTACTGATACATCCAATTACAACTTGGTAGAAATGCTTACCTGAATCACATTCCTGGAATTCTGTAGTTTGAGCGATAATTCCATTTCGAAATCCATCAAATAAGGAATTCAAATCAGTAGATTGGTCAGCTGTTCTATTTTGAGAGTTAACTGATTTGGTTTTCTTCAGCTCTTGCGTTTGCAGAATATAACTCCCAAATACTTCCATATTCCAATAACTTTCTGCCTGATTTCATTAAAGAATAACATGTAATCGGTGAAAACAATGGAACTCTGCACCCTGTATGTAGCAATCCGACGCTTGAAGTCACTCTTTATAATTCGAATACCATCACTCAATTGTACACATGCATTATTCTTATGTTGCAGACTTCTATTGTGAGAATTCACTTGAATCAATGGAATCGTCACATTACAACAATTACATGTGTACATAAGTGTTGCAGCGTCATCTAAACTCACTCGTTTCACTGATGGACCTCCTTGGCAACTCTGGAGCTGATGAAGACGAAAGTTATCACTACGAGTAAAAGATTTACCACAGTCACAAGAATACATTTTCTATGATATGTTCTCACTAACTCACACGATGTAAACTGACATAACCAACACTCGTCCGCTTCTTAAATACCACAGTCCTCGCCGCCTGCGCGTCACCATCGAGAGCGAGGGTAGAGCCATGCGTTACGTCATAGACATTGCTACATCGATGAATACGCATTTCTCAGCCACACGCCGTGGAGTGCACATCTCGCTCTCCTACCGTTGAACGGTTGCTGCTGGGGTAGAGCGATGCGTTACGTCATAGCCTTCACCACATCGAGAAAGATGAGGGTACACCGATGAATATGCATTACTCAACCACACGTCGTGGAGTGAACATCTTGCTCTCTTACCGTTGAACGGTTGCTGCTGGGACGTCACACCACTACTTGTTTGAGAATTTGAAGAAATCAACATTTATTTTGTTCCCTTTTTTAATGTTTTTTTGTAACGCCAATGTTTATTGAAATAATTGAAAACGTCACGTAGTAGAACGTAAGCGGTTCAGACTTTAGTTTTTCAAAAACATAATTTGGTAGAAGAGCGTGATTGCTGGTCATCGCTTATGATTTACCAGCAGAAACAAGACAACTAGTAGAACGCAGGTAACCGACCCATCCAGCTTTCGCTGCAAGATCAGGACGGTGCCCATAGCGAGATCTTCAAAGCCTTTTATAAAGTGAGTCCATTCCTCATACCGTTTCCTAAAGGAAACGGTATGAGGAATGGACTTGAAAGTACTGTTTTTGCCAGCTTGGGAACTGTGTTTGCTCTTTATATACCATTCGCTGTCAAAGTTTAGTCAAGATGTGTGAGAATAATAGAAAATGGGGTTCATTAAAGGCAAAGGTAACGATATTCTTTAAGTTTGTAGATGATGTGAAGGGGAAGTCAGATATCAGACCTTGATATCATTCAACTAAAAGATAGATTAGGAAGAATTGAACAAACTATGATTGAATTTGATCTAATTCAAAATAACATTGAGTGTTCGACAGATGAGTTAGAAAGTGAAATTTCCGAAAGACAGTCATTTGAAGACTCTTTCAATTGCAAAGAAAATTATGAAAGATTTTGAAATTTTTTCTAATCAAGATAATGTCTCTTCTCATTCCTGAATTCTTTCTCAGCCATTGGCGAATTATTCTATTTCAAACCAAAACTTCAATGTCAAATTACCTACTGTAAGTTTACCTACATTTAGTGGAGAGTATGCAAATTGGTTGGAGTTTCGCGATACTTATGAATCTTTAATTCACCGAATTGTAAGTATATCTTTTCAGAATCATGTCAAGGCTTTATTTAATAAGGAGTCTTTGAATAGGGAATCAGCAGATGGCATAAGAAAATGTTTGGATACTGTTTCGAAACATATGCGAACGTTGGAACAACTCGAACAACCAACGGATAAATAGGATACACTAATAATTTATTTAGTGACAACAAAATTAGATTCCTCTACACTACGCGAGTGGGAGGAATATAAAGCGGATAACAATTTACCGGCATTAAATGACCTTAGTTAGGAAATAATCAACCTGTCCTACAAAAAACACGTTTGGGCTGGATTGTTTCCGGTCCATGTAATAAAGTTCAGTTTTCAAATAAGACTTGCAATTTTAGTCAAATACGCGATATTCAATTTCAATTATCCCGTTTTTGGAAGTTAGAAAAATGTACATATGAAAAAATGTGGTCAAAAGATAAGATGGCTTGAGAAAATCATTTTATAGAAAATACATTGCGCAATGATGATGGCAGATTTGTAGTAAAATTGCCATTTAAAAACGACTTGGAAAAACTTGGCGATTCTTACGAACACGCAAAGTACCAATTTCATTCGTTAGAACGTAAATTTCAAAGGCAACCCAATTTGAGGGAAGTATACATAAAATTTATGAAAGAATATGAACGTTTAGGACACATGACAAAAATGAAACAAGGTGATGCTAATATTTTCTCAAAATTCTGTTACTATATGCCTTATCATGCCGTGTTGGAGGAAGATAGCATTACCACAAAACTACGTGTTGTTCTTGATGCTTCTGCTCCAACAAGCAGTGGTTTTCCACTAAACAATATTCAGCTAGTAGAACCAACAATTCAGAATGATGTATTAGCAATATTATTACGATTTAGACAGCATGTGTATGTGGTAGCAGCTGATATTGAAAAAATGTACCGTCAAATTTTAATTGCTCCAGAACACCAATGTTTACAAAGGATTCTTTGGCGTGAGAGTTCAGATAATCCTTTAGAAACGTTCCAATTGAATACTATCACCTATGGAACGACAGTTGGGTCTTTTCTTGCTATTAGGTGTCTCTTTCAACTAGCCCTGGAAAATTAAATTGAATATCCGGAATATTCTGATATTATTCAGTCGGATTTTTATGTTGATGATTTACTGACTGGTGCTGATTGTATTGAAAAGACAGCTCTAATAGTGAAAGGGATCTCTAGTATTTTGAAACAAGGTTGTTTCAATTTGAGGAAATTTCACTCAAATGATTTTAAAACCTTGAAATATGTAACAGCGGAAAACAATTGTTCGACTAAATTGGTGAAACTAGGGGACAATATTTATGCAAAAACGTTGGACTTGAATTGGTGTCCCAATACGGATAGTTTGGTATACAGAATAAATAATGAGATAGCTAATAAAAAGATAACCAAACGCGTTATTTTATCTAGCATTTCTCAAGTGTTTGATCCGCTTGGATTATTAAGTCCATGTATAATACTGGCCAAAATTCTCCTTCAAAAATTGTGGATAGAAAAGGTTACTTGGGATCAAAAATTACCTCACAGTATGAATGTATTTTGGCCTGAATTCCGAAATAAACTTACCAAACTAAATGACATCTGAATTAACCGTCACGTGTTATGTATTAAACCCCTAAGTATTGAAATGCACGGTTTTGCTGATGCTTCTGAAAAGGCATATGGAGGATGCATCTACTTAAGGTCAGTTAATAAACACGAAATATAGAAGTCAATTTACTCTGTTCAAAAACTAAGGTCGCACCTCTAAAAACAATCAGTTTGCCTCGTTTGGAATTATCGGATGCATTAATATTAGCACGATTGGCAAACAAAGTATCAAAATCATTACGGCTGAATATCAACAAAAGATTCTCCTGGTCTGATTCAACTATAGTCCTGGCATGGTTGAAAACACCACCGAACAAACTAAAAACTAAAAACTTTCGTGAGCATCAGAGTAGCAAAAATACAAGAACTAACTAATAAGGACATTTGGCGTCATATTTCTACCAGTCAAAATCCGGCGGATATTTTATCTCGCGGATTGATGCCTGACGAAATAGCAGTTGTTCAGCTGTGGTGACATGGTCCATTGTTGTTTTCATAAGGTTGTGAGGATTGACCAAATGAAGTTAATTCATTGAAAACAAATGAATTACTAGACTTAAAAAAAGATATTCAGTTATTTACAGTACAAAATCTTGAAACCTTTTCTGTTAAAAACTTTTCCAAACTGAATCATTTAAAAAGAGTTGTGTCATGGATTAACAGATTTAAGTCAAACTGCCAAAAGAATGTGCAGTCCCGCAATTTCAGTACATTATCCATACTTGAGATTGATAAGGCTTTTAAGACACTTTTAAAATTAGCTCAACAACATTCATTTGATAATGAAATTCAGATCATCACAGGAAACAAAGAAAATATCAGAAATAGTAAAATTCAGAGTTTAAACCCATTTCTTGATGATGACGGTATTCTGAGGGTCGGAGGTAGATTGCGAAATTCAAGGTACAGTATCGATAAAAGACATCCAATCATATTAAGTGCTAATCACCATCTGACTAAATTAATATTCGAGCATGAGCATTCTATACTTATGCATTGTGGTCCACAGCAATTATTGGCATCGTTGAGAGAAAAGTATTGGTGGGAGAATCCTTGCTAAAAAAGTAATACGACATTGTGTCAAATGTTTTCGCACTAAACCAATAGGGATACAGCCACTCATGAGTCAATTGCCTGCGTCTCGTCTACAGCCAGCTCCGCCTTTTAATACTACTGGAATTGATCACGCGGGTCTTATTTTGGTCAAAGATCGTAAAGGTCGAGGATCAAAATTCAATAAGTGTTATATATGACTCTTTATTTGTTTTGCCACAAAGGAGATTCATTTAAAATTGATTTCATACTTAACCAAATATTCTTTTCTGATGGCATTTAGAAGGTTCATGGCTCGTCGCGGAAAACCTTCTCATTTATTTTCCGACAATGGTTCAAACTTTGTTTCTGCTAGATCTCATTTGAAAGAATTGGGTAGGTTTTTGTCAGATCATAAAAACGAGTTAGATACTGAAATGTTTGAATTCAATATAAAATGGGATTTGATTCCTCCTTATTCACCTCATTTCGGAGGGATTTGTGAAGCTGGAATGGAATCAAGTAAGGCTCTTCTGAAAAGGGTTGTTGGAAATGCGCATTTGACTTTCGAAGAGTTGAACACAGTTCTTGTGCAGGTAGAGGCAGTATTGAATTCACGGCCCCTTTTTCCATTTCCTCCGATCCTGAAGATTTTAATCCTCTTACCCCGGCTCATTTTCTTGTGGGAAGATCATTAACTACCATACCGGACCTGAACTTCAGAGACATTCATCTATATCCCGGAAAAGACGGTGTCAGCAGAGTCGCTACGATTAAAACATCAATTGGTGATATCAAGAGATCTTATGCAAAGTTATGTCCACTTCCAGATTCTGATTCCAGTTAGATGTTGGAAGAATACGTGAGGCCTTCCAAAGCGGGGGCATGTTTGAGAATTTGAAGAAATCAACATTTATTTTGTTCCCTTCTTTAATGTTTTTGTAACGCCAATTTTTATTGAAATAATTGAAAACGTCACGTAATTGTCAAATAATTAAAATTTGGAATTGTACAACATTCACAAAATAAAAACAGTTTTAGAAGCTATAAGCAGCCCAGTTTCTCAGTAGAACGTAAGCGGTTCAGACTTTAGTTTTTCAATAACATAATTTGGAGCGTCGTTATTGCAATAAAAAACATAGCACTACTAACTTGGTGGGCTCATACCGATGGAACATTCATTACTCGGAGGACCTTTGAAGTATGCAGACGTATGTTTGTACATAGACAAGCACATGATGAAACCCTGTACCGTGCATTCTCACACACACACACACACACACACCAACCAAATGTAATTTCGTCATTAAGTCACACACACATAAAATCTCATATGAAAAAAAATTCTGAACGATCTATGCACCAGACACTTCAAGGTCACATCACCATGATGTTACTAAACAACAAAAAAAAGAAGCAATTAATACGTCATAGAGGTGGAGGGAGGCTCAGAACCGGCTCAAATCTCCTACTATTGTGCACTAAAAATTGAATATTTTTTTATATTCTACTTGTAATATGACCGACTTTGAGTTATCATATTTTGATGAAATTATAGTCCATGAAACTCCATTCAAAATTTCAATAAACTTTATGTATCATTTTCCGAGATATATGAGTTTGAAAAATTGGTGATCCACTGTCGATCACCCTATCCAACCTATGTCGTACAAAGTGTTGAAATCGTGATCGTTCTCCATGAGGTGGCACGCATAGGTGGAATTGGCCTTCTTCAGTTTAAAACTTTTTTTATGTTCGAAGATTTTCGTTTCGGAATTTTTTTAAGTTCTTTCTGCATACACTTTTGGACATGATCTGCATGTTGACTTTGTAGAGTGAACTAGACAATAGGAACAGATGCGTACTGAACAAGAAGTATACAGATGGGCTCCTCAATGGTCAGAATACACGATACAATTATAAAACAAATTTTAGTAGTCTTTTTATTTTATCTGATGTTTTGTCGGTATCTATATGTGCGTCTATCAGTTTTTAAAATATAATCTAATCCGTTATATTTTCTCTGTCGCCCCTTTATGGAAAGTTCATTCTCGTTATGTAAATTTCGTTCTCACACCCCATTTGGCATATAAACCCAAAGAAAACTGATCCACAAATTGAAGAAAGTGGCGTTTTTAGTTTTTGACGATCTATTTCTCACGGCATATGAATTCAAAAATCATTTTTGATCACATAATCCGGGACAAAAAAATGTACAAAGGCCAAAGTTCTGACTGATGAAGTGAAGTGAAGTGAATAAATCCGAAACAAACACTGATCCCAAACACCAGAACTACAACACCCTTCTCGACGCGTGTTTCACCAACCAAGTTGGGGTTATCAGCTAACACACATCAATGATTTCTTGGTTACAAATTGGTGGAAAATTTTCCAGTGAAAAATTCCTGCTCAAAAGAGTAATTCATATAGATGTGAATGATGGGCTGTTTGGAATAAGACCCACGTTCCAGGTTCTTCACTTTGCTATAAAAATTTATTTTCATGAACCAATCTCAACAATTTTGAAAAGTCTTGATTTCTGATTCCTGAAGTGATATATATGTGCGGCTTTTTTTAATATCTTTTATATCTGACTTTTCATTTTTGAACATCTTGTTTAAGGGTCAGCTAACTCATTTGTTGGACTAGCAATGTTCAGTTTTTCAAAAATGAGATTCAAACAAATTACCCTATTGGATTAATAAACCCAAAGGAAACTTGATCCACATGCTAAAAAAATTGGCGTTTTACTCTTTGACAATCAATTTCCAACGGAATATGAATTCTAGAATCATCTTGAATTCGTTCTGATTGACGGAATGTTTCAATACTTCATTAACGACATGTTGAGCACAATGAACTTATTTCTAAATCACTCGCAATGGGGAATGTTCCTCCTGACGAAAATCAAGTAGTTTTCATAAAAGGGCTCTAAAACAACGCATTTAAAACTTATCATTTCAACCTTTTTCTTTAAAAAATTATTTAAATACTTAAAAAAGAAGAATGAAATAATGCATTCAACATTTAAAGGGAGTCGTTTCTATTTCATCATTTGGCAACATCGGTTATAGCTAATGACATATTTCAGAGGCGTGCTGTTCTGTTTACTTATGTTACGTGTTCCGAGACATTCTGTGACATATGACATTTTGTGCACTCAACCTATCTTCCTCTATATAAATAAATAACAAAACAACTGTTGTTTATGTGGCTTGTGGAGGTGGTATTGAACTATAATTTATATTTTGCCTTAGTTGTTGATTTATAAAGATAATTTTCCTTTTTTGAAGTAGAATATCTAGGTACGTATAAATTATTTCAACTTGATATAGGCGCTGTTGCCAATATGTGAATTAGAAACAAATCCCTTTGAAAATTAAAACCCAACATTTGAAACATCAATTTGAATACTTTTCGAAGTGAATTTGAAAAACTCATGAATTAAACTCAACTTTATTTTGTTCAAACTTGCATTTGCTGTAATAAACCAAATTGAGGAACATTCCCCATTCTACATATATGTAGTTCTGCGAATGATTCCTAAAATATGAATTCAAACCACAAATATAATGCTAAAGTTCTTTCAGATTTATACTTGTGCTACGACCATTCACAGGCATATCCGTAGCAGATATCCGAATGGCAGTCCCAACCCTCTCGTTCTGCGGCTTCAGTCAAATCGCAAAGCAAATTCAAGTCAATTTCTCAGGAATTGCCGCTGTGACGTAACCTGCGCATACGTTGCGAACGACGCCCAATGTATGATAACAAGCAGAGAAAGCGTCACGCCACAAATCGTATTCAGATGAAAAGAACTTAGCACGTGACAGACAACTGTTTAATTTAGGCGAAATCAATGTGTACGTAATTAAAACGTCCCCGCAAATACCGTATTTTCAATCCATGATCAGACGCGTTTGCACTATGGCTTATTAAATATTTACTTATTCAAAGTTTCATGGCACGCTTGGCGCTGGTGATTTGTCGTGTTTGGTTTTATCAACAGCTGATATCAGCTTATCGACTATCGAATCAGTGAAATAAGATCGAGATTTGATAAATGTGTAATATAAACGGCACCTCGGTGTGCTGAGTTCAGTGTTCTTTTTTGGCGTGTGTTGGATTTTCGAAAATGGAACCCGACGCTCCACCCCCCGATGGAGGATGGGGATGGATGGTGGTCTTAGGGGCAGCACTGATAAATGTAAGTCATTTTTCGTAATGAATATTGCATCTTGATTCGCTTCAATGCACATTTAAGTCAGATTGAATAATACCTCTTGTTGTCAGCGTGACAATGCAAAAGTTTGTTTTTGTGGGTTATTGAACAATTGAAAATCTAAAATTACTTATTATCGTTGAATTTGTTGTTAGCAGTACCTCTTTTCACGAATAAGTTAACAATAAAAGGTGTCATATGAATTTAAATCTCCAAATCTAGGTATACTTATAAATGCGAATGTCATTTACTTAACACTCATTCACCTCCGTTATTTCTGCGTAGTGGTAAGTCCTAGGAAGCTGAAATTTGGTATATAGGTGCTTTTTAGGTCTAAGATGTGCACTAAGAAATCATTTTCAAATATTCCAACTGGGGCGTCCCTCCTTGGGAGTAAAAAGGGCGTGTTTACATATGAAAATAACATTTCCATCACTGTTTCTTTCTACTGCTATAATTTCGGAGGCTGAAATTTTGTATGTAGGTTCGTTTTATGTTGTAGATGTGCAATAAGGAAGGATTTTCAACAGTGAAAACTATTCTAATATAACAGTTTTGTTAAAAATTGCTACAAATATTTTATAAGAACAAGTACTTAATTATGCTTATAAAAACAGGTCTAAAAGTAAAAAAAAGGGCAACAAAAAAGTTTTACCAGTTTAATGGAGCCGGTTAACCAATCGCATTTATCGTACCAACTAATAATTCATCCTCGATTTTGTCGATTATCTGACGCTTTAATTGAAATCAAATTCGCTTGAGGCCTTCCCAGAGTTTCATTAATGTAAAATTTATTATCATGAGATAAAGACTTGAAATAATTTGTCAGCAACCAATCGACTATATCGTCAGATTTTTTAAATTCGTCCAACTTATCTATCCATAATAAATGTGAAAAAACTTACCGAAAAGTGAAAACACCTTGAAATTGAAAGAAAACACATTAAAAATATTACCAAAAAGCACTGCTATAATACAATACTGCCTGTTTTATACACAAATAACAAATATTATCAAGAAACACTAAAACGATTTACCGAAATATTTTTCAGTCCCGGTCCGTCACGCCATCCCGTCCGAATAATTGAATAAAAAACAAATGCAGTCATTAACGTACACTAACGAAGACCAACTGGAGGCTAGCCTCCTCTAACGCTATAATTTCTGCAACTAAAATTACAAATCGGGACGTCTCGCGGAGCTTGCTTTTTTTTGAAGCGGTCGGAGGTTTGGCTCCCTTGCAACGTATCAACGTATGGCATTTATTATTTCGGGTTGATGGTTTCTTCGTTCGTGAGCGGTGCGTTTAAGGTTTGTTGATGTAGGATACAGTGTGGTACGTACTACGTGGTGAGCGAAAGTGTTTTTTCGGGCATATAATGTATTTATATTGAAAATTTATGGTAAAGTAATGATACCCAAGCATTTTTAGAAAAAAATAATCATAATTATTTGTCAATATCTTTTAATTTATTGCGATGAATAGCCGCGAGCCGCCGCTGATTTTCAAATATTCAAACTGGGGAAAATAGGCGTGTTCATAAAATGAAGTTACATTTTCTCCATGCCCATATTTTTCCTGTAGGTGAATTTATATTCAGTATCAGCATTGCACCCGTGCGGAGCCGGGGGGGCCATGATACGTTCGAACCGAATAAGACAATTCAATTTTTTAAAATCACAATTAAGCTTTGAGAATTTCTTTCTTTAGAATATGTTCTCAAACGTCAAACTTCATTATTGAACTGCCGTTTCGATTTGAAATATATATAGTAATAAAAATCAGAAATGAAACAAGCACTCGGGAAGTGAAACAAGTGTACATACCAGAAATTTGTGATGTGATGGAAAAATTATATTGTTTCAATAGTTAGTCTCTTGATAATGAAATATGAGTTACTAAAAACTCAAATAGCTATTATTCACACCGATTTGTGAGTTGTTTCTTAGAGTACAGTTGTTCGAACGTTGGGCTTGAGTACTAGTAGTCCAACTCACGCTAGCCTTTTTTTAATTGCCCAATATTCCAGCAATTTAAAATTTGACATGAACATGAACGTAACATGAACTTCAGAATTCAGAGATTTAAGTAATTGTTGTCACGAACGATTCGCAAGACTACATATGGGCAGAAATACGAATAGGTCAAAAATAGGTCCCCTGTATGGGAGATTTGAGCAAAGTACAATTTTTGAATGTAAAGGTGGTTTTCTAGTGAATTTCATTTTTATTTCCTTAATAAGAGCTAGTTTGAGATAGCTAACAGATGAACCCAAAATTAGGTCGTATATATCTTTAACAAAATATAATGTTTCCGTTTTAGTGTATGTTACATTTATAACGTAGATACATTTGATAATATTATTTCGAATAATAACATTGAGAAATATTCTACTGCAATGTAATCTTTCATTGCTACTAAATTTCTGAATTCTTTAATGTTTTGTATAGTTGGATTGTAAAGAACAATAGACAAAATCAAATTTCCCTTATATGTTTTTACAGGTTCAATTCTGTTTATTTTTCGATTTGTTTTTAAAGAAATACGTCACAATCGATATTTATGCCAAGTTTTTGATTTGCCGAATCATTTTCCATGCACGAATATTTACTCGACTGGTACGAAAATAGATTTGCTAAATTATTTTCCATACACGAATATGTGTTTAATTGATACGAAAACGTCAGTATTCATAGAAAAGAGCTACTAATCAAATTCATTTTCTGTTTTGGTGTACAAATGATCTGATTTCGTATTTTCATGTTATAATCACTTTTTTGAACCAATCGGAAATTTACTTTCCGATTGATAGTCAAAAAAAGATAAGTGAAAACATCAGCCACAACTGATATTTTATATTTTAAAGTGATCAGATTGATGTGCAAAGTTCTGAATTATTTTCAAACAATCAATAATATCAATCGGTCAATAGGGCAAGAATGTTGTTTTGTAAATTGTATTTTTGCTTCTACAGAATTACCGATTCTAACAAACAGAAAACAGTATAACTCGTTGACTAATGTTATTAGCTATCTTTGAAATGATTTATATTTTTGAAAAACCACTCATCTCTGACATTTCTTTACCTCTATTCAAAATATATGTCTGGGCCGATATTCTTGGTAATTAAATTGTTGCACCGTTCTTCATTGAAGGTAATCTTAATGGAGAAACATACTTAAATCTATTACAAGACTGTGTAGATCCAAATTTTAGAAAATGATGATAATTCAGTAGAAAATAAAATAACATTCCAGCAGGATGGTGCACCCCACATTTTGATGTTCGGGTGAGACAGTTTTTGGACGAACGTTTTCCAATGCGTTGGATTGGCAGAAGGGGTCCAGTGGAGAGGCCAGCTAGATCACTTGATTTTACACCACAAAAAATTGAGTATGTGAATTTATTATAATTTTCATGCAGTCATGTAGTATACTTGCTGTTTTTTCTTCGGTAACAACGGCATCAGTTACTATGGCCATTAGCCTCGTTTTCTGGTAGGATGTGTTTGATCTTCGAATAGCCTTGATAGCCATCGCTAGCCGTAATTCCATCAGCAGAATCAATCCATCTGGATACATTTTTGCCAAAAAATTTTCTGCTCAAAATGAGATTGAAACCTCAGATTTTTGTATCATGAATCCAAAATTCAAAATTCTTTATTTGTCTATTTGGCTGAAAAACTAACAAAAAATCTAATTAAATATTTACCAAAACAGACATTTTTCCACACAAGGGAGTAGGGTTAGAGAAAGAAGGGGTATAGGTATGTCATTTAACTTATCTAAGCTTATGTTAGTTGTCCAGAACCTCATGAAAAAAGTTCATGAAAAAAACAGCTAAGAGTTCTGCTTATCCAATTTTTCCATGGATTGAGCGTGATCGTGTTCTCGACGTTCATGGAAGATATCCAATGAATCGTAGATCAGCCCGAGTTTATGGAGCCGATAACTCCTAATATCCTAATAGAAGATTAATGGACTTCTGGCAGAATCTTCCAGGATTGGCTCACTCCAAGGAGTTTATTCACCCTTCGAAACTTGATACCAAACAGTTGTAGGGATAAACTACGATGTCTAACAGGCCTTCTTACGGGTCACTGTCATTTGAATCATATGCAGAGACTCGGACTGTCGAAAGACAGTGTGTGTCGCCTCTGATTTGAAAATGATGAAACAACAGAGCACATATTTTGTGCTAAAGCTGCTGCAAAAATGTATAATACGAATCATCTAGACCACAACGTGGTTAATGGATAAGTTTCGAACTTCAGGTTCTGTTTACAACAGAAAACATGAAGTATCCCGTCCTGTCAGAAATGATGGAGTTGAAGTTACAGTTTTAGGACATGTACAAATGGATAATCGACAATCAATCAGACAAGTAGTTAGAGCGTCTGCTGTATCAGCTAGCTACTAGTGTTTTTCGGATTTTGAAAGCCTAACAATTCCATCCTTTCAAAATAAGACTAGTTCAGGAATTAAATGAAAATAATCCTGATCGTCGACTTCAGTTTTGTGAGGTGTTCAGCGAGAAATTGACTAATAACCCAAACCTATTTATACAATACATGTTTTTTAGAAGAAAGTTCTTTCATGTTGAATTGCGAAGTGAATGGACATAATTGTCGTTATTGGAGTGATGTGAATCCTCATTTAGAGATGGAAACACATTAACGAACTCCATTAAAATTGAATGTCTGGGCCGACATTCTTGGTAATCATATTGTTGCACCATTCTTCATTGAAGGTAATCTCAATGGAGAAACATACTTAAATCTATTACGAAACTGTGTAGATCCAAATTTCAGAAAATGATGATAATTCAGTAGAAAATAAAATAACATTCCAGCAGGATGGTGCACCCCACATTTTGATGTTCGGGTGAGACAGTTTTTGGACGAACGTTTTCCAATGCGTTGGATTGGCAGAAGGGGTCCAGTGGAGAGGCCAGCTAGATCACTTGATTTTACACCGATGGACTT